TCAGGGGATGAAGTGTATTTGTACGAGAGATGATGTCCTGCTGGATCAGTCGGGTTGCACCATCAGAGAACATAGGCACACCACAGGAGGAAGGAGCGTGTCCGACTTACAGGATAAATGAGGGTGTCCTGCTGGATAAATGAGGGGGCCCATCAGGTGAATGGAGTGCTGTTAGCAAACGAGGTTGTACTTGCTGGATGAATGGGACTGGTGTGCTGGATAAATGGGGTTGTGCTGTCAGATGAATGCATTACTGCTCGTGGGCGAAGGGTGTCCTGGGAATAGATGAGAGTGTCCTGCTGGATAGATGAGCTGCTGCCACTAGACAGATCAGACTCTGTCCATGAGGGAGTCACCATCAGCAAGGTCGAGGTTATTCTGCCCCGCTGGGGCTCCTGGAGTGTTGTTTGGCTGGCCTGGGTGATGTGGGTTGTGGGAGACCTTGGTGGGAGCAAGCCTGGGTCAATCTGGGGAGAAGGTGCGGGCATAGGGAGGGCGTGGCTTGTGCACCCTGGAAGGCCCTCCTCAGCTCTCTCCATATCTAGTATGCTTGGGACCAGAGTGTTTTCAGATTTTGGAGCGTTTCAGATTTTGACTATTTGCATAGACTTTACCAGTTGAGTAGCCCTAATCCAAGAATCTGAAAACCATGACACACAAAAAGTTTCAGATTTTAAAGCACTTCAAATTTAGGATTTTAGGTTTAGGAATGTACAACCTGTATTAATTTAGAAAGTGAGCATTGCTGAAGGGGGCCAAAAAATAGCAGGAAAGAAGAACGGTTTTTGGAGAATAGTCAGGATGGCCTCGTTGCAAAAGGTACCATTGAATATAGATTTGGACTTGAGAGATCTCTGTGGGCATCTGGGGCAAGGGATGCTGCCTGGCAAGTTGAAGGAACAGGAAGGAGTATAGAGTAGGATGCCTGAGAGATTTTGGAGGGTCTGTGGACCATGGCAGGGATTTGGGGAGGACTGCACAAGATCTCTTCATTTTAAAGGCTCCCTCTGGCTGCCATGTGGATGCTGCAGGGAATCAAGGGTAGAAGCAGGTCGCTGTTGGAGGAACTGGATCTTCAAAGAACCTTGTCCCAGGGTCTCACCATTCGTGGGTGTTGAAGCTGAAACAGACATCCCAATCCAATGCACAGCCCAAGCGCTCTGCCCTGTGTTCACCTTGCCAGCCTCCTTTCTGTAGTGGGTAGGCCTTAGAGATCTGTTCTCCCCTGCCCAGGTTGTGAAGGAGAATGGAGTGGGCATGGGATGTAACCCACTTTCTTTTCCCTCTGCCCCGAGATGGTCTCCCTGAGGCCTCAATAGGGAGGACCTACCTCCCCTGGGAGTATGCACTAATCCTGGATGTAGTTGTGAGAGGTGTGCAAGGCCCCAGAAGCTGGGCCCAGCTCTGGGCACCAGGGGAGCTTGGGCATGCTGGGGCCATGGCTGAGGTGGTGGGTTGCTAGGTGACTCCAAGAGGGAGCCCTGGTTACTGCTGCCTGGCACAGGTGTCTCCCTTCTCTACCTCCCTTACCTCCTCCATGGCCTCTGGCCTCCCAGGAGGCCTTGAGGATAAGCCAGATTTGTGATCCGTGCTTGCTACTGGATGTTAGTGGGGAGCTCTGATTGGTACTAGATGCTGGGCCTTGAGGAGCCACATTGGGCTGCAAGGTCTGTGACTCTCTCAGTGGGTACATCTCTGACTCACCCCTGATCCAGAGCCCAGCTCAGAGCTACCTCCCTGCATGACCCTGGGCAAGGCATGTCATCCCCCTGGACTCAGCTGTCCTATCCATCTGGCCTGCAGAAACCCTCCTCAAGGGCTTGTTTTCTGAGGGATACAGAAGTCAGTGGACAGGGTCCCAGGTATTCCCACACCACCTGAGGCTTGAGGGTATATCACTTCAGTTTTGCATTAGATTCCATTTATAAGAGTTCCACTGCTTTAAGAAAAATCCCTGAAAACCTGTGGATTGTATGAATTCAAGAATTTCAGAGTCAAACTGCAAAGGTCCCCATAGAACAATTGGCCCATGTCCTCACTTTACGGGGAGGGCACCTGAGTTCGAGAGAGAAGGAGGGATGTGCTTGGTGGAGTGGGAAGAGCACTGGGCTGTGGTCAGGAGGCCTGGGCTCACATCTTTTCTCTGATACCAGGTCCTGGGCCACCTTGGGAAGGGTTTTTTTAGTTTTCCCTGGGTTGGGACCAGCCAAGGTGTCGGGCTGGGACTTGAGCTCCCAGGTACCTGGCTGTGTAGAGGACCAAGGGAAGAAGGATGCAAACCTTCATAGGCCTGAAGCATGTCTTAGGTAACATAAAACATTTTTATAATATTTATAAAGAAGATGTGAATGTATTATGACACACATGCAAAATTCCCTTGAATTCAAAAGAGGAAGCATGAGACTTTAGGAAATGTTGACCTTGCAACATGCCTCAGCCTTCCTACACCACTAGCTTTTAGGGTAGTTTACATGGAGAGTTGGAAGAGCACGGGCTTCTGTCTCTTCCCTGTCCTATGGCACAATGTAATTCCTTAGATTCAGAGTAAGACCAACCTGAAATCAATGTCTGGCTCTGTGCCACACAAACTGTGGTTCCTTAACCTGCTCATGGTCTCTGAACCTCACTTTCCTCATCTTGAACTTGGGATCCCAATCTTGACTCTATGGAGTCTGGCATAATGATTATGTGAGGTAAGACTTAGCACGCCTGGGACAAAAATGCTGGTACTATGTGCGGGGTACCTGGTGGTGTCCTTCCTCCTGCCCCCACCACTCTGAACCAGGCTGGCACATAATAATGACATTAATAAAGAGGTGTTGCCTGACCAACCTCCAGCTGGAGGAGTGGGAGGTGAGAGGTGGAGCCTCTGGCAAGTCAGACAGTCCTCTGGAGGATGAGAGCTGAGGTCTCTGAGGACCTGAGCACAGATGTGGGGAGGGGCCAGGGAGCCAGGTGCAGGGGCGGAACAGGGAAGGAGGTGAGGGAACACCACTCCCTGGGGGTCAAACTCCCCTCCTCTCAGGGCCCCAGGAGAAGCTAGGCAGGGCAAAGCTGGCAAGCTCCAGCTGTCACCTCCCAGACCCAGAAAGTGCCAGAGACAGCCTGGGGGTCAGCAGACTTGGGGTGGGAGGTGGAGGTGACACTGGGCAGCAGGAAGGACCTCTGGAGACTGGTGGGGACGAGGTAGGAGGTAGAGCCCCTGAAGCACAGGTTATCATGTGCCTGGGTGAATGAATGGGTTAAGAGCAGGTCTATAACCTGGGCAGGGCTAGGTGGCACCTGGTATCACTGCCTACCTGTGAGACATCGCACCTTTGGGGCTGGTGGATGAAATGGAGTAATGCAAACTTCTGCAAGTGGTTGGAGCCCAGCACCACTGTACTCAAAGCATGATGATAAGAAAATGGTGACAGAGCAGGTGATCTAGGAGGTGAAGGTGTCTGGCCAGAGGGAGGTGCTTAACCACCATTTATAAGCACCTGAAGTGTCTACCAACACTAAAGCACATGCGTTAGTTCATGGAATGATCTAACAGCCTCATGAGTTGTTGTGACAGTAACCCATTTTTTCAGAGTAGCTCAGAGATTGATACACTGCCATGGCCACAAAGCTGGGTGGGCAAAGAGCCAGGCATCCTGTCCCGTCCTCTGATAGCCAAGCCATGCTGTCAGCACAGTAGTGCTTGAGCACAGAAGTCAAGGCCGGTGGGAGAGAGATCCAGTGGAAGTTCTGCTCTAGGTTCTGTGGGAGCCAGGTCACTGGAGCTATGGGTTCCGCTGTCTTCCTTTGTCCCCAGGATAGGCCTTACCTAAGGAGCACTGCAGACTGGTACAGCAGAAATTAAGATGATGATATGGGCTGGATGGTAAAGGTGAAGGCTGGGAGGTACCAGAAAGGGTAGTGGAGCCTTCAGCAAGCACTTTGCCTCTCTGAGTCTAGATCTTCATGTCTGGAGATGAGGAGTGTGTGGGGATGGTGTAAAGAAAGACGCCACCAGGAAAGGGCTTGGAGGGCAGAGCTGGCCAGTGTGGGCAGGGATGTCTGGAAAGCCGTGCTGGCCTGAAAGCAGGCAGGTCAGGAGTGGACCCTAAGGTCTCCATGGCCAGAGGTCGCCCTGGCAGGTGCTTGGTAAGATCTAAGGCCTCTGTGGAGTTTGCAGGAGCTCAGAGAAGTTGGGGGTGAGTCTTTGGAAAGTCTCAGGCCTATATCCACCTTGGGGACCCCCCAGCTTACCTGCTTTCCCTGGCCAGGCCCTCCCAGCAAAGGGTTAACAGTCTTCTCTACCTGCAGTTGCATTTTAAAGACACGAAATTAAAGCAGGTAATTTATTCTCCCCACACACGAAAGAGCAATTAGTTCTAAACAGGGCTTAATCAGTCACCGCGAGATTGATTTCTGGAGCCCTGGGTTTTCGGGCTCCTGGCGCCATGCCAGGCTGGGGAAGGAGGGGGGCGGACAAATGAGCTGCGCAGCGGCATGAGCCCTTACATAATCTGCTGGGGGGCCCTGGCAGCCGGGCTAGCCCTGCGAGAGTCTTGGCAGAGTTGGGGAGAGGGGTCCTGCTTCTCTGCCTCTGGTCCTCTGCAGGCTCAGAGAGCTCGGTGGGGGTGGGGGTGGGGGTGGGGGGATGGGGGTGTGGCTGTCAAATCTCCAGGGAAAGGTTGAGCCAAAGCTCCAGCCCCATCCTTTTGGCTCTTGGGCATTGTCTGTGTCGGATGGGGGAGGGTGGAGGTGCACCGGTGTGGTTTTGGGGAGAACAGCGGTATTCTGGGTTTGTCCAACCTGGCACTTACAAATGCACCCCGTCTTTTCCCAACTCTCTTATCCCACTGACCCTCTTGTCTTCCCTATTTTCTCTCCTCCCCCTCCGGCTCTCCTCTGCCTCTTACCCTCCCACTTTTCTTTTTCCTCTACTTCTCTTCCCATCACTTTCTCCTCTATCCTTTTGGCTTCCTTACTTCCCACTCCCCCACCCATGCCCTTGTCTCTGGCCACAGAACTCCATCCGGCACAACCTGTCGCTGCACACCCGTTTCATCCGCGTGCAGAATGAGGGTACTGGCAAGAGTTCGTGGTGGATGCTGAACCCTGAGGGCGGAAAGACAGGCAAGACTCCGCGGCGCAGGGCTGTGTCCATGGACAACGGGGCCAAGTTCCTGCGCATCAAGGGCAAAGCGAGCAAGAAGAAGCAGCTACAGGCACCCGACCGAAGCCCCGACGACAGCCCTCCGGGCGCTCCTGTCCCAGGGCCCCTGCCTGCCGCGGCCAAGTGGGCCGCCAGCCCAGCTTCGCACGCCAGCGACGATTACGAGGCGTGGGCCGACTTCCGCGGTAGTGGGAGACCCCTGCTCGGGGAGGCGGCCGAGTTGGAGGACGACGAAGCCTTGGAGGCCCTGGCGCCATCATCGCCACTTATGTACCCGAGCCCTGCAAGCGCGCTGTCGCCGGCGCTGGGCGCGCGCTGCCCCGGCGAGCTGCCCCGCCTGGCGGAGCTGGGAGGCCCGCTGGGCCTGCACGGCAGCGGAGGCGCGGGGCTGCCCGACGCCCTACTGGACGGCGCGCAGGACGCCTATGGGCCGCGGGCCCGAGCCGGGACGCCCGCCTACTTTGGCGGCTGCAAGGGCGGCACCTACGGCGGGGGAGGGGGCTTCGGGCCGCCAGCGCTCGGCGCGCTGCGCCGCCTGCCCATGCAGACCATCCAGGAGAACAAGCAGGCCAGCTTCGCGCCGGCCGCCGCACCCTTCCGCCCGGGGGCGCTGCCCGCCCTGCTGCCACCCCCGCCGCCCGCCCCGAGGCCCGGCCCGGTGCTGGGCGCGCCCGGGGAGCTGGCGCTGGCGGGCGCGGCCACCGCCTACCCCGGCAAGGGGACGGCCCCGTATGCGCCGCCGGCGCCCTCGCGCAGTGCCTTAGCCCACCCCATCAGCCTTATGACGCTGTCCGGCGAGGCGGGAGCCGCGGGCCTGGCACCGCCGGGCCACGTCGCAGCCTTTGGGGGCCCACCTGGTGGCCTCCTGCTGGACGCAATGCCAGGGCCATATGCGGCCGCAGCCGCCGGGCCGCTGGGTGCCGCTCCTGACCGCTTCCCGGCGGACCTGGACCTCGACATGTTCAGCGGGAGCCTAGAGTGTGACGTCGAGTCCATTATCCTCAACGACTTCATGGACAGCGACGAAATGGACTTCAACTTCGACTCAGCCCTGCCTCCACCGCCCCCTGGCTTGGCCGGGGCCCCACCCCCTAACCAGAGCTGGGTACCTGGCTGAGGGCCGCCTCCCAGGTGCCCCGGTCCATCCCCAAGGGGCCTCTGTCTTCCCATCCTGATCCCTGGGTCCCCATCCCCGATCCAGCTCCACGGGAGGACCCAGGAGGCAGCCCCAAATCAGTTAGAGACAGCCCTCAGAAGTTGACCGCAGAGGGAAGAGGGAGAGAGCGATGGGGCACCCTGTCATTCCTGTGGAACTCCTGAGACCCGCCTCCCCCTCCTCCTCCAAGGGGCAGGAAGCCAGGGAGAGGAGGCTAAAATCCACTGGGGAAGAGCAAGGTGGGCCACCTGGTTGGATGCTGGCCAGGGAAGCCACCTAAGAGATGGGGCGGGGACGTTTCTGAATCTTTCATTTGCGGTGACGTGACGCATAGCCCACCCCAAACTCCAATCTGATTCTCAAATTGACACTTTCCCCCCAGCTGGTCTTAGTCTCACTACCCGAAGCCAGCAACTCTGGAAAACACAGCTAAAGATTGGCCATCCACCCTGAGCAGTTCTCTTCCAGCCCTAAGCCGTCCTCCCACGACTCCCAACCCCACGGTTTAGCCTCTTCCTCCTTTCCTAGCCAGCCCTGGTGTCTCCTCTCCCACGTCAGTCAACCTTTACCAATCCCCACACCTCCAGTACTGGTGATAGCCTCTTCAGCAGGCTTCAGCTCCGGATCCACCCCCCAACCTGACACCCCTTTCTCTGTGCCAGTTCTGGCCCCTCTCCCATATTTATAAGTGTCCAGTCGGGGCGGGCAGTGGGCGCGGTGTCCCCAGCGCGTATAGTAGGCAGTGTACCGTGGCCGTGCTGTCAGCGTGTGCGTGTGCGTGTGTGCCGTGTTGAGGCCGTGTAGAGTGCATTGTACAGCATATTTTCATGAATAAAATTGTTTTAAATATTTCCCACGCCTTGAGCTAGCAGGAGGGGGCGGCAGTGGAGGATAATTAGTAGTTATTTGAGGGGAGCAGGGGTCTTTGCCACTATTGTGACCTTGTCCCTCGGTGTGCTACAGCATTCACTGGCACTGCTTTGCTCAGCGCACATTGGTTAAGCACCTTCTGAGTTCCTGATGCTTGAGATACCTTGTGGAGCTCTGCACCTATTTCTGTGAACATGTACCTGCAGGAAGTTTGGGGCCTGAGGAAACTCATGAATTAAGCCTTAGAAGTTGGGATAGCGGGTAATAGGTATTTACTAACATCCTGGTCATGCCAGGCCTTGTATGGGCATGAGTTTTGCTCCCAATGTACAGGAGAGAAAATAAGGTGAGAGAGGGAAAATAACTTGGCAAGGAGGGGTGGGAATGGTGGAAAGAGAAGCATTAGAAGTTGCAAACTTATATTGGAACCGTTCTCTTCCCTTTACCAGCTCTATCACCTTGGGCACATTCCAACCTCTGTAACCTTGTTTTCCTGGTCTATACCATAGTACAGTAGCCCCATCTCAAGTAAGTGAGAAGAGATTTGTGAAGTGCTCAGCCCAGGGCCTGAGTGAGCTTCTTTAAGTACCAAGAGAGCAGTGTGGGCACAGTCTTTGTCCTGGAAGAACTTGGAGGCTCCATGGGTGACATGAATGGTTAAATAGGTAGCTGTGCATGAGAGCTGTGGTGAATAGAGGACCCAGGAGGCTGCCATGGTAGGAGGAAGGGATGCTGTCTCAGCAGAGCCTTGAAGGATGAGTTAGCATTGGGAAGGGGAAGAATTCAGGCAGTGGGCATAACATATCCAAAGGCCCAAAATCAAGAAAGCATGTGGAGTCCAGAACCACAAGCAGTTGAGTGTGACTAAAGTTTAGAGATGGAAAGATAGCCGGTGGCAGGGAGGCAGCAGTGGAAGAGAGACTGGCCCAGCCAGAGACACTGATGGTGGCTCAAAACAGGGGAGGGCAGTGGAGCCGGAAGGGAAAGGATAAGCTCAGTTTATTTTGAGTTATTGTGACTTGACTGTAGATTAGATGAGGGGTGAGGAGGAGGAGTCAGGGGTGTTTAGTATCTGGGCAGGCAGGGCCATTTGACTTACATCCTATGGAAATGTTGGGGTTAGGGAGGGAGGAGGGAGTTTCCCGAGCACTTCTTCCATGTGAATGGCATTCCCTGGCATTGGGCAACATGGTGGGCTGGGGATGACCGCCTGGATAGCAGGAGTCAGAGTCCAGGAAGGCATCCGGGCTGAAGAGGGAGAATTGAGCACGCAGAGAATCAGGGGGTGTGCTGTGAATGGCTGGGGCGTGGTGCAGAGTGGGATGAGCAAAGAGCCCAGGTCTGCTCTAAATCCCTTGACCCAGGAAAAGGAACCATTTGAGAAGAAGCAACCCAGGGAAGAGATGGCAAACCAGGACACAGGGTCCTCTAGAGTCTGAAAAGATTGGTGGGTCCTGAGAGGACTGCCCAATGCCTCTGAGAGCCTCACTCTCTTGGTCTGGAAGGCCAGGCAGAAGCACCTCTCTTACAGGTGTATTTGAGGACAAATAAGATTGTCTGAGGTCACATTACTAGCAAGGAGTAAGAAAGAACCAGGGTGCCTGCCTTTAACTGTACACTCCCAAAGTCCTCCTCCTGTGCCCTTGCATCTGAAGAGGTGGCCATGAACAGAGGAGCAAATGAGCCCTGAGCCAACAGGATCTGCTCAGAGTTGGGGAGTTGAGACCTCACTTGTGGGGGTGGGGTGGGTAGGAGTCCCTGTCAGGTTGGGGAGCACATAGAGACTGATGGACCCTCCTCTGGAACAGATGCCCCAGTTCCACCCAACAACCAGGCTCTGAGAGGCCCACTGGGTCTGGGCTCCATATGGGCTGCAAAGCTGCCCCCACCCTAGGCTGCTGGGGGGTAGGCTGTGGGTGTGTGTGTGCAGGTCTGTGTGTGTGTCCATGTTGCCCCATGTGCATCTGTATGTGTGTATGTGTGTGTGTGTGGTTAGGTGTTCGTGAGAGTGCTAGGTGGGGGTGATTGAGGTCTCCATGCATGTATGACCGTATTCATTGCTGAGTGTGCCCACATATGTATGGAGGCACACACATGCCTGGGTGAATTGCTGTCCCAGTCCCCACATGTGCACCGCATGCTTCAGTCTCTGGGTGTGCCTGCCTGTCTTGGCACACACCTCTCTCCCGGGAGCACTAGGCTGGTGTTCTCCTGCCAGGAACGTCTTCTGGGCTGCTGTGCTGTCTGGTGGAGGGAAGGGGAGCAGAGGGACACTCCAGCCCCTGGGATCCAGCTCAGCTCATAAGCAATAAGCAAGACCACCTCAGAGTAATGACCAAGCTCTGTGTGGCTCAGACCAGTGATAATTCCAGAGACAGCTCTTGTCCTGCTGGGCCCCATCGGGAGAAAGGGGCAACACCCCTGCAGCTGGGGGTCTGCCACTGGCCCTTCCCCGCCAGCCTTGGAGCCCAGCAGACGCGCCCCCCTCCATGCCCACTCCCTGGGTGGCGTCTGACACATGATTTATTCATAAAAAGCCATTATTTGTGCCAAAGAAGAACTGAGCCGCTCGCTTTTTAAGTGCTGATAATGCTCTCAGCCTCCCTGCTCTCCCCTTCCCTCTTCTCTCTCACCTCCTTCAGACTTCCTATCCTTTCTCCTCCTCCCTTTCTTCTCTCATTCCCTCCCATCCCTCTCTTTCTTCATTGTTCTTTTCTCCTCCTCTCCCTCCCTTCTTTCTTCTTCCCTCTCCCCCCACTCAGCCCCTCCCTGCTTCCTCTTTACAATCAGGAAAGTGAGGCAGGGTCCTGGCAGGCTCAGAACCAGGGAAGGCCTGCACCAGGCCTGGAGCTCTGTGGACCCCATCCTTCCACCTTGGCCTTCCCCTCTTTAAGACTATGGGAAGGTTGGGGGCAGTGGGGACAGGCTGGGAAATGGGGAGGAGGGGGAGTCATTGGAGGCTGTTCTAACCAGCTCCCTCAATGCTGAGAGTTGACTTTAGTCCACCCATTGTTAGCATAGGTCTCCCAGAATCCCAACTAACCATTCAATCTCAGTAAAAACAGTGCATTTGCTATGCAAATGCAGATTGAAAGCAAGCCCCCCAGGACCCTTCTCCCAGCCAAGAGTGCCCCCAAGCTCCCAGATACAGACCTTCTGGACATAACTATTCAGGTGGTACTGAGCAGCTGGCATTGAGGAAGGCACCTGGGTTCTGCCAGAGACAGAGGCAGCAGAACATGTTCCCAGATGGCAACTTGGACATGGACACACACAAGGTTCTCAGAAGCAGACATCCCAGGTCCACGTGTGTGTGCCTCCATGCTCGCACGTGTATGTGCATGCATATACACACACACACACACAGGCATGTGCTCAGCCACCCACCTACTCCTGCAGATGGAGAGCCCCTCCTCACCCCTTTCTGGAGCATTTCTTCCTGAGCACCTGCAGCGGGGCTGCAGCTTTTTCCCTATCCAGACACCTGTTCATTCATTCATGCATTCATTCATTCACTCCATAAATTTGGCTTTTGTACCACCCTCTCTGTCTGGGTCAACCCTTGTGCTGGGCACTGGGTGACAGAAATGATTAACATTGGTCTTAGGGAACAGGCAGGAGCAGAGAGGTTCCTGTAAGCCTTCTCCTGCAGCCTTGGGCTGGGGGTTGGGGCCCAGCAGGTGAGGGGTTAAGTCATTTGGCATCCAGAGCTGGAGCCATTAGGCCTCCTAATTATGAAATTATCGAGGTCCTCAGGTGACTGCTAATTTCACACACACTGTTCCTCTCACGGCTAATGAACGCCTGCAGAACCCACGCCTTGTCTTTCCTGCTGAACAGTGACCTGCAGTTAATGAGCTCAGGAAGGCAGACAGGCCGCCGGCTGGGTGGGTGGGGCGCCAGGCCCAAGGAGGGGGCCACTAGCCCCTCCAGCCTCTCCTGGCTCCCCTTGCTGGCTGCCAGCCTCACTGAAGATTTCAGGGCCCACGCCCAACCCACAGATCCTGCAGGACAGTCAAAGTCCAGGGCTTTTGGGAGCAGAGAAGGGCTTTGAGTTGTATGATCATGCAATGAGCATAGAGCAGGGCGAGGGTTGGGAACAGAAATGAAATATAGGTGGTGGAAGACCATTTCTGCTTGATCCACCATGATCTGCTTGCCATGTCAGAGACATTTATGAAGGATGGGGATAACAATAGCTTAAGGGTAGGTATTGGTGGGGGCTGGGTACACCATGCTGGAGAGGGTGATGATTTTGGGGGCTGGTGGTACTAATGACAGTAGGAAAGTCAACTGGAGAGCTTGCTGCTGATTGTGATTTTTAAGGTCTTAATTTTTTAATTAAAAAAGTGTCATTAAAAATCACCCTGCAAGCCTGTCATCTCAGTTGCTTGGGAGACTGAGACCCCTCTCAACAATAAGTTGGGCATGGTGGTGCACTTCTGTAATCCCAGCTACTCAGGAGGCAGAGGCAGGAGGATCTTGGTCCAGGCCCACGTGGGGCAAAAGTGAGACTTTATCTAAAAAATAACCTAAAGCAAAAAGGCTTGAAGATGTGGCTCAAGTGGTAGAACACTTGCCCTAGCAAGTACAAGGTCCTGAGTGTCAACCCCAGGGCCACCTACTGGTTGCAATTTCAGGTGGGGGAAGTGTGGTGCAGATCTAGTGTTCATTTTCCCAAATGGGGACACTGGACCTCTGGGCTGATCACCATGTGTGTCGTATGGCCCTATGACCTGCCCAAGGAGAAATTTCTGACCTGGCCACTATCCATCAGCCAGACCCATGTCAACTAGGATCCAGGTGGCAAATGAGGGGTAAGAGGGTGGGAATTTGTTCTGGGGTGTAAGGAACATTTTTCTAGCTTTTTCCTGCCCTGTGGCATTGGGTAGCCCTCCTCTGATCTGCTTCTTGGTGGGTACACGACGGGGTTAGACCAGAACTGCATGTGCCCTCCAGGGCAGGGCTGGGCTCCTGGATTG